CGTCCACGTATTCGAGTAACACAATCTTTTGTATCTAAAATACGGAGTCCGCAGCGTGAAGCTGGCTGTATGGTGCTGCGACTCGGTGACACGTTATTTAATAAAAGTAAAATAATAAAATAAGGGATACACCCTGTCTACCATATTTTTATGCGATACCTTGTTACTACGGCGAGTACATATTTTATATACCTCTGTTATCCTTTTATATCGTAATCAGTGAAAAGTTGTACAAGTTCTTGCATGTAAAGTGTCTTCATCCATGCACGAAGTGGGAACTTCGTTCGAACTGACAGGCAACTACGTTAAAGCAAAAGAAGAAGAAGAGGCAGAAGAGATTAATTTCCTAAACGATTAAGAGTACCAAGGCGACGCTCTGTCGACGTACTAGTAACAGAGAAAAAAGTAAAATTGCTCTCGCTAGCTGAAGCTACCGAAGCTTTGATTCGGCTTTTGAACGCCATTCTATACCGAACCGAAACCTCCGCGTAGTAATCCACTACGAAGGCAAGCCCATGAACAGGAAGCCAATTACTGTGTTCATTACCGACGTAACAGCCGGCCATTTCATTTTCCCGTCGCTATATAACGTTAATAAGCAACTACTTACAGGCCTAATAAGAATAACACGGCTGGAAGTCGCGGTATAAAAACGAATCTCCGCTTACCTACGATCAATTACCTTTCTTCGTGAGGCTCAAGTCTAAAAGTAGAAGCACCACGAGAAAGAAGATAAAGTAGCAAAAGGAGAGGTTGATTGAAAAGTGGCATCGGCATCTGTATCGCAAAGAGGATTTATCGACGAATAATCCAGATAAGACAATTAAATTTTCCTTACCGCAATCTCTTTGAATGCGTTTAATTGGCTGACCGCAAAATCGACAAAGAGTCGTTGCGGTCCAACGACGATGCAATGGGTGCTGAAGCGAAGAGGAGCGACGGCAAGCAAGAGAAAGCGACAAAGGGCATCAAACTTAGCTCACCACCACAACCGTAGAGACAAGAATCTCCTAGTAATGCGTCTCCAAGGAGTTTTCTCGTATTTCCACTGTTCAGCCGGGAAAGAAATGTATGACGGAAGAGTCCTCCGCCTTCTGTCTCACCGAGAAATTACACGGCTTTTTCATCGATCGACTCCAACTCTTCTGGTCGAGATAAAGCGCGCGTATCTTGCTTGCCATTGTGAACATTTCCTGACATTGACGTCGCCGTTGTTTGTTGTAAAACAACACAAATATTTAACTGCGAGGTAAACAAGTTCATGGGAGAAGTTATTTGTAACGCAAACACGTAGCGGAAGCCAATATCGAGAAACATGGTGGATATTGTTTTCTTATGAATATCGATGCGAGCTTGCCCCCTGCTTCCCATTGGGAATAGCAAAAGTCTGTTATTTACACAGGCGATTTCTCCGCCCAAACCTCCAGCATCGGTTGGTTTCAATTACCGAAACCGTGATCAAAGGTTTCACTACGAATCAGTGACCGGCGATTGAGCGATCGCTTAATTTACCATAAAGCGAACTTGTACAACGTTTACGGCTGCATTTACAGAAGCATCGAACAGGGCATCGTTCATAACACGTTGGCAATGCTCCCTTTTTGGTCGTTACCTCGGAAACTAAACGCGTTGTCTCGAACGATTGCCTGAATATGAACGTTAAGAACTAAACGGTAATATCCAAACCAAGCACGGATAATCCAGAGACGAAGATAAATTTGCATACGAGAATTTTCTTCGCCGAGTTTTCAATATTTACGGAGGATATGCAAGAAAGCGATCGGATAACCAGTTAAAAAGTTAAGAAAACCTAGTCCGAGAGCGAACAGAAAGAGTTTTCCACGTGTCTGAAGGTTCGCAAACGTTTCGCATGCTTGCTTCGCAGTCCGAACGCAGTTACCTTTCGCCGTGATACACCTTGATTCTTCACAGAGGCCAAAGAAAATCTAGACAGAAGCAGACGAGCGAACAGATCAACGTTAATTCACATGGGGGTTAATGTTGTACGGTTGGAAGATCAAAGTGCGTTTGCAACGAAGGTCTCGAGAAAATTGAAGGAGAAGTATCGTGGCGGTCAGTAACGAGTCGAACGATGCGTTTTTCCAGGGAGGAACAAGCGGCGAGCGCTCGCTCAGACCCGCAATTTGCAATTTGCAAAAGAGGCAGCGCTTTTGTCGATCGGAGGCCGGTGAATGGCCGCGCGAATTGGAAAACGTCGGTTAGACGTCTGCTAGTGACGGG